TCAACTGTTGGTAGTTCAGGCTTTCATTAATTAGAACTGATGTACATCTTAAGTAGCCTGCAGAAAACATTTAGCCAAAAAAAATCATAGTAAAGGTTTTCAGTGTAGCATTTTCATGTTTTTGGTCTGGCAGTAGTTTCAGAGGCTATGATGTGGTGTGTCCTCACTGGTTGTACCAATGTGACTGTTGCCCAGCTTATTGGTACATGCAAACTCTGCACCAGGACGTGACTGCATCATTTCACTTGTACATTTACAGGGAATTGCCTGCGTGGTCACTCAAAGTGTTGCAGTCAGCAGTTCAATGACCAAGTGGCACCAGTGACAAGTGATACTCTTCAGGGGTCAGCACTGGAGCTGGTGCTGTTTAGGACCTTTGCTGATGACAGGGACAGTGGGATGGGGTGTGCCCTCACCAAGTTTGCACCAAGCTCTGTGCTGCTGTGAGCATGCTGGAGGGAAGGGATGCCATCCAGAGGGGCCTGCACAGGCCTGACAGCTGGGCCCATGGGAACCTTCTAGAGCCATTGAATCATCAAGGTTGGAAGAACCCGTAAAGATCAAGTCTGACCAGCCCAGCACTACCCCTGTAACCATTAGAACACATCAGCCTCTTAAACATCTCCAGGGATGGTGACTCCAACACTCTCTGGACAACCCATTCCAATGCCTGAGCACTCTAACAGGGAAAAAACTACTTCTACAATCTAACCTTAATCTCCCCTGACTCAGCTTAAGGCCATTTCCCCTGGGCCTCTCACTTCAGTCACTGTAGAGGAGTCCAGCCCTCATCTAATCACAATCTCTTTTTGGGTAGCTGGAGACAGCAATGAGATGCCCCCTGATGCTCCTCAAGACTGAACAAACCCAGCTCCCTCAACCATTACTCATAAGATCTGTTTCCTAAACCATTCATGACCCTTGTTGCCCTTGGCTGGATGCAGCAAGGTGTGGCCTTAAAGTCAGGTGTCCGGCTGGCAGAAGGGCGGCCAACACCCAGCTGCAATGTGAGAGCACCCCTCGGCGTCAGAAGGCTTCTGGCTGTGCTCACAGCGGACGGAATCGCTGCTGGCCAACGAGAGTAAAGAGTCCAGACACTCACTGGGGACTTCTCAGATTTATTGTAGAACCCGGGAATGACAGACACCCAGGTGTTGAATCTAACGTATCTGCCAGCGAGTATCCTGAACAAAAGGTGCAACAGGGTTATAAAGGGGAGGAAGGATCTCAGGGAGGCGTTTACAAAGGACCAATAGGGGAAGGTAGGGGAGTGAACTTAGGATAACTGACATGAGGAAAAACCCAGTAGAAACAATGTAAAGAGGGGCCCCGGAGCCATAGCCAATCAAGTCTCCCTAAGCACAGAAGATGCTGGCAAACTAGGAGGAGTGGGGAGTGATTGACTGGGCCCAGGGAGGAGAACAAATTCACATATAAGGAAACACAGGGGAGGGGAAATCATGTAACAGAGAGGATTGACATAAACTGTGGCGGGAGTAACCAAGGTAACCAAATGACAGACAATACCATGGCGGGAGTTGCCATGGGAACGTAATAACTGACAGAGCTAAGGTGGGAAAAACTGGGAGGGCAGAACCATTACAGAAAATGGGGGAGCAATTAAACAAACTAACAGAACACACTACAACAGCTGGACATGCTCCAGCACCTCAATGCCCTCTTTAAAGTGATCCCAGCACTGAACACAGGATTCAAGGTGCACTACAGTGCTGGGTACAGTGGGGTGATAACTGCCCTGCTCCTGCTGGCCACAGTATTCCTGACACCAGTATTCAAGATGCCACTGGCCTTCTTGGCCACCATCAACAGGGATGTTACCAGGCTGTGGAAGAGGCTGCCCAGAGAAACTGTGCATGCCCCATCCCTGGAAGTGTTCAGGGAACAGTTCAGATAGGGCATTGAGTAACCTGGTCTAGTGAAAGGTGTCCCTGCCCAGGGAAGGTGCAGGTTGGAACTTGATGATCTTTAAGGTCCCTTTCAGATCACACCATTCTATGATTCTTTGATTTTCTTCTGTATTTCAGTTTATGAAGGGATGGGTAGCTGCTCCTCTGCTTCCATCATATATGCTCCCTTCATGTTGCATAAAATTCAAAATTTTCTCTGGTAATAAACTGTATGCTAATTATAAGTATGTTCTTCAGCAAAATAATAGATCCTATATAAACAATGGTGCAATAGTAGAATTATCACAGTAATAGAGCTTGAACAAATCTCCAGCCTTGAAGTGTTATTTTTTTAACATTCCCAGCACTGCAAGATGCCAGCAAATGCAGATGTCTTTGCCTTTACTATGTGTACCATGCTGGTTTACAACTGAAGGATAAGCAAAGCACAGTTTATTACTGCCATGTTTCTATTTAATCTGGTCTCAAGTGCTGTTTTTCCCATTTCATTGCACTGAATCTGCTTTTTTAGCAACACAATTTCCTCTCTGTTAGGGGCAGACAGTGGAGAATAGATGAGTGGCTCAGTCACAGGAGGCTTTGGAGACATCTGGTTTTCCCTTGTATCATTTGTGTTCCAATCTGTCAAAAGCAGGACACAACTGGGGAAAGATGGCAGGGGAAGGAAACACACTGACCTGCCTGCAGTGGTGTCTGTGTGAATCAGCATGTTAGTTTGTGCTCATGGAGGCGGATGCAGGATAATAAACCAAGTATGTCTTTGTTTACAGTTTTGTTTGAGAGAAACCTCTCTGCAGAGCTGCCAATCTGGGCAGAATGGAGAAATTCATATCAGCATCAAGATGCTTAAAAGTGCTCATCAACTTGTATTCATTACAAACACCTGCAAATGAAATTTGTGTAACAGCAAAAGAAGCAGAAGTGATGATGTTGAAGCAGTGTGAAACTGAGCACTCCTGTATCTGCAGTGGGCCAGTCTGCACCCAGGCACAGAGGATGTGTCTTGGAGAGGGAGTTCAGCTGCTCTGTTTTCTGTGCTTTCCGCCTCAAGGGTGAAAACGAATCAATGCCCTGGATAAGATGGCCTTTCCAGGGGAACTCAGCAGGGCAGAGCTGTGGAAGGGTGGAAAGGTGTACTGGCAGCACTGGCTGCATTGGCAACCCCAAACTAAGGGCTCAGCATTTCTCCACTTGATCAGGTGATGCTCCAGTGCAAAGTGGAACTGTAAATCTTACAGGTTACTGCCATTAAGAAAGCATTAGGGTTTTACCAAGTATTGGAATATGATCCCAATATTACCAGGAAGATTGGGCCTGAGCTCGTCTGACCCTTGCTGCTGGGCCAAAGACAGCAGCTGTGGTGTTTCACCTCAGAGACACTTTTGCCTGGCTGGATGTTGCAGCTGGGCACTGAAACAAACCCAGGCTTGTAGAAACTCAGTTTACCTCAGGTGGAAGGGCTTCAGGTGAGGGTGAAGAGGAAAAGGGAGCGGATTCCGTCAGAGAGTTTATATCCAGAGTTTATTCCATGGTCACAGACATCTGAATCCGGGTAACAGCTCCAACAGAATGTCGAGCACATGGTCCTTGGTCAATTTAAGCCCAGGGACAGGGGGAGGGGAAGGGACAATTGAGCACCAACCAGGTGGGAGGAGGAGGGTCTCAGGGGACAAGGGACACCTAGACAGGCCAATGACCCCCAGGCCTGAATTGCATCCTTTGAACTTGACCAACCACACGAGGCCTTGCTGGAATGTTAAGCCTGATTGACAGAACTCATTCAGCAAGGGGGTGAGGGGGAAGGGAGAGGTATTGCCACACCTGGGAAGGGACTAGGAAGTCTAAAACAGGAAATTGCAACACACTGCAACAACCAAGGTTTCAGACATGCATTTTTCCAATATTTGTAGTATTAACCTCTCTCTTTTAAATATTTTGGAGCTTTGGATTTCCAGCTGTCCTGAAATTGGGTCTGCGACTTCACCATGATATCCTGCTTTAAATGTTGTCCTTTCATCAATGATGACAAAGGGAAGATTTCTTCCCCAGGAGTGCTGGGTGGATGCCCATCAGTGCTTGGCACATTGCTGCTGAACTCTGAAGCATTGCAGGGTGCCTGTTACACCACCATCCACAACCATTGTTGCCCACCTATTGCCTGTTGCAGGCATCTTCATTCTGGTTTCCCTGCTGTCAAGAGGGTCACATACTTCACATAAGTGCTCAACTGATCTGGAAATCATAACTCAGGCAGATGTTCAGCTCTCTGTAATTTCTTCTTTGCATATGAAAGAGTAGTGTCTCTTCAAGTCCTCTGTTCCAAAAGTGTGGGGTTTTTTAATCTCTAGCAGTTGAAGTGGTGGCTGCAAAAAAGTTTCACTAGTTGTATTTATGACTTACTCCTTTAAACAAATGTCAATTTAAAAAAAATTTAGACAAAAATAAAGTTGTGAGTATGCTGTTAAAATATTGTTGACAGTCAGAAGGAAATACCTGATCTTATACCTATTCCTTGAAATATGGAATTCCCACGTGGTCCTTGGAATGGAGACATATTTTCTTTCAGTAGCTAATTACAAGCACTACGTTCTCTTAAACTGTTTCACTGTGTGGGAAGGAAAATACACACCTCTTTTCTTTATAGCTTCACTTGACCTTGGCACTCTCCAAGACATTGCTGATTACTCCTGAAGTGTGCCACATGTAGTTGGTTGAGCAGTGATGTAAGGACTAACTTCCATCTGACCTTAAACCCTTGTGTGCAACATCTTATCTCAAGTCCTGCTGCTGACCTCGTTTTTCACTGTGTGATATTCCTGTGAATTGATCTTGATGGCTTTGGTATCACCATTTTTGTAGTAATGACTGGTTGTTTGAAGGACATCTGTAAATAGGTAAGTGTTTAAACTCAAGGATGTTCTGCTGATTACTCTTCCTAAGACCAGGCTTGAGAAAAAAACACGTTTCTGAACTTTGCTCAAAGACCTTGTACATTACTTGCCATGTTTATATTGCAGTGTCAACTAGTGCCCTGAAAATTCTTTAATAAAAAGGAGTTTTGTTGATTTTCAGGTGTTCAAATGAATCCATATTCAAAAAGGAAGATTTATTTTGGGCATACAATTTCTGCCCCACTCCGTACTCTTGGACAGCACTTCTGGGCCTTATTTTGTATTTGGTTTTCTTTGCACCTGGTAAGAAAATACTTGGTTTTGCATATAAGTTTAAAATGTCAAATAGTGAAGCTGCATGTTAAATTTATTTTTGAGTCCAGCCATTAAAGTCAGATTGATGTTTTTATTCCTGATTCTTAGGGATGGGTCCTATGCCCTGGACTGTCAATTCTGAGATTTATCCACTTTGGGCCAGAAGCACAGGAAATGCATGTTCTTCTGGAGTCAACTGGGTTTTCAATGTGCTCGTGTCACTGACATTTCTGCATACAGCTGAATACCTGACATACTATGGTAAGTCACAGTTCTGTCCATGTGTGCAGCACTGCCATAGGCACAGAGATTTTCTCTGGATTCTGGGTCCCTCCACTGGTTTTGCTATGAAGTGTCAAAGCAGTGTTCTCAACCCACTGTGGTTTTGTAAGACTAGAGATCTGCTTGGATCATAGAATTTGGTCTGGATTTCATAAGCAGCATTTATTTTTGTCCTTAACTGAGAACCCAGATAGTTGATTAAAACAGAGAAGGTGGAAAAAACCCACTTTTGATTTAGTGAAATAATGCTGACTCCCACTTAAGGTGACAGCATCTGCAGTTTTCCACTTTATGGTGACATCCAAGGCCAGTATCAGATGGTCCTTGCAGAAATGCAGCTGTTGATAAGTGCTGTCTGTGTGACCCTGTGGAGTGTTTGTCAGGTTACTGCTCAGCCACTCAGGTACAAGTCATTTAAATCACATTAATCTGCCAGGGAGCTGTTGTGACCTTCACATCCCTTCTAGTGCAGAGCCTTTCAGCTCTGCTTGTTATTCCTTTGAGCCATCAGTGTAGCAGCTCTAGGTAAATGTTTGTTGGTCCTTTGCTACCTGCTCTGCCCCTCTAGGTAGGGTGGATTGTGGGAAGGAACAAGCTCCTTCTCAATATTAATTGCCACCACAAAGCACTTTTAAATAATAATTAGGTGTAAAAGCCACAAACATTATTCTAATCCTGACTCATTTCTTCTGCTAGAGCTTTTCATTTTGAGGACTTGTCTTAATGTGTCCTTCACTGTCAAGACAAACTAAGAAAGCTCTTTCCTTTCACATCTGCTTTTTTTTTTTTTTTAATTTGGGCATGTGATTGTCTAATTGCTGTTTATTTTAAGAGCAGAGTGACTTGCCCAGAAAGGATGTGAATAATCTTTCACATTAATTGGAATTGCCTTTGTCAATTTACTTTGGTGAGGAATGAGGCAGTAAAGAGTCGTTCTCCTACACCCACAGCTCATTGTTGTAACTCTGCCACTCCAGCCTTTTCTTTCACACTCTGCTGCTGAGTGAAAGCAAAGTGTGCTGTGCCTGCTGCTTCTGCCCCTCCCCTGGCCTGGCACAGAGGAGGGGTGGGGACCTCTGTACCTGACTGTGACAATGGTTTCACATTGCAGGAGCCTTCTTCCTCTACGCAGGCTTTGCTGCCTTGGGACTGGTTTTCATCTATGGCTGCCTTCCTGAGACTAAAGGGAAAAAACTGGAGGAAATTGAATCTCTGTTTGAAAACAGGCTATGTACATGTGGTATGTCAGATTCTGATGAAGGGAGGTACATCGAGTATATTCGGGTGAAGGGAAGTAATTACCATCTCTCTGACAATGATGCTTCTGATGTGGAATAATTTTCAGCTGCTGATGTATTTAATCATTTAAAAGCCTTCTGGGGGAAAAGCAGCTCTCTGATGACCTCACTGCCCTGCTTCTGGTCTGGTTCTCCTTTCTACTGTGTATTTAAAAATGCCTTCATGTTCAAAAATGCTCCATCTAGGAGGAAATTCAATATGCTAGCGTTTTCTTGATAACTGAAAGCAATGGCTTCCAAAAGAGATTGAATTCCACAGTTATGTGACTTTACCAAGTGTGTGTGACACTGCTCCGTCCCCAGAGGTTTAGTAGGGTGCACTGTACCAGATGAATACAGAAGGCTATCCTAGATGGTCAGGGGCTGTCCTTATCTCCAATGTTGACAAAACCTAAAAAAATCGCCTGGCTGATGAGAAAACAGCTGACAGCTGTTGGATCCCCATCCCATAGGAGCCAAGGAAGAAGCTCTGCTGTGCAGTATGACAAAGGATGAATGCATAAGCATTGTAATAGTAATGATTTAAAAGGTTTAACTGATTGGGAAAATACAAATACCTGCTGTATCCATCAGAGGGACATTTCCCAAATTTATCCAAAGAGAGAGAATTTCCATTATTTATTTGAGCTAGCAAGTAGAGAGCCATACTCACCTGGATGGGGGTTCACTGGGGTGGTGTGTGCCTGTGCTACACTGGATAATCCACCCACTGCTGCTCCTGAGTACATGCTGCAGTTGGGAGCTGATGTTTGTGAGAAAAACTGCCAAAATTGATTACTGACAGCAGGAAAACAGAGCTCAGTACGTGGCCACACGTACAAATGTACTGGTATATATTGCTAGGTACAACACAGAGGCTTCAGTTTAAAAAAAATAAATGTTTGTTTTCCTTTTTAGCATGTGAAAATATTGGTTTGTGCCTAATTTTGAACATAAAAATACCATTAGCTAAAAGAAAGAGAAGGAGGGTAGAGGGTTTGTGCTGCTCCATGCACAGTGGTCATCCCTCCTGCGCCTTTTGCTTGTGAATGATTATTGCCTTCAGTTTATCTCCATATGTGCCGAGTAAATGACTCCCAGCACATTTTTCTTCAGATTTCCATAATCAATTGGTGTCTTGCTGGATCTAAAGAGAAATATTAGCCATGGGCAGAAGTCTGCATCTCATTTTAATTGCCTTACTGAAGCATTGCAAGCTTGTCAAGAAAATGTCAGGCACAAAACTGACTTGGCTGCCTTTAGCATGGTAATGAAAATATGAATGGTATTTTATTCACCTGCTGTGATTGCTTGCCTTGGCAAATTGAATTTTATGCAGCTACATAAAAATATTATTTGTTTTTTTCTTTGTCCTGTCCTCACTGCTTTAAGTCTTCAAAGATATGAGTTTGAAAGCATCAACAATTCAAATTCTTATCTTTGAAACATTTGCTTCATGAAAGAATGTGGGAAAATTCCTCTGCCTGTGGGCTGACACCTATTTATTTGGTAAAAAATACATTTATTTTTCATTGTATAAAGATTAAAGAAGTCATTAGGTTCATTAGCTTTTATAGATTTGGTTTGTGGGTTTTTCTTGGGTTGAAAAATGTTTTTAATGTTGGGTTGCTATCAAAACCAACCCTAGACTTCTGTTACTAAATTATTTTTATTGGATAACATGGGGGTTTGTTGTTGTAAAGAAGTCTGACATTATGTTATCTAATCTTCTGTGGGGGGAGTTCTTATTCTCCAATCATTGACCTTCAGGGATTGGGTGTATTTTGGTTTTTTTCTTTTTTCTTTTTTTTTGTTTTTTCTTTTTTCTTAATCAGAGAAATATTTTTGGAAAGAAAACATTTTAAGGAATCCTCCTGTGACTTGACTGGAGCTAAAAGGGAAAAACATAGTAGACAGAGGGAATTTCAAATGAATCTTTGCAAAGAGCAGCTCAACCTTGCACGTCTCCTGTGTGGTGAGAGGGCTGGATTCTCATGCCTTCCATCTTGCCTCCCTTTTAAGCGCACAATATTTTTATGCTTGAAAGCACCAGCTGTAGAAAATGCTGAGATCTCCAGATCTGTCTATTGCAAATGCTGAGGTACTCAGACCTCCCTACAAATGCTCCTGCTGTGGGATGTCTCCCTTCGGCTGTCACCTCCTTGAAGGCTTCACTGAAGGTGCAGTACCTGAAATGGGAAAATTAGATACTTGGCACAGAGAGAAGAACAAAATTGTTTCAAGGAGAAATGAACTTATTTCTGAAACCAAAAAGTGGTGTTTGAAGACCCGATTTGGAAGCAGTTTTGTTACCTAGAGCAGTGTGTGAATAGGTGTGTAACAGCCAATCTGTGCTTACACAGTTTAAGTGGTTTAAGTGGGTATTTTCTGGCTTCTGGGGATGGGGACTTAGGGTTCTGACAGCCCCAAAAAGCACAAGCCCACATTCACCTTCACCCCTGTGAACATTCCCTTGCTTGGGGTGTCTGGAGTGGGATCCAGGTCCCAGTGCCGGCCCTGTGCCAGCGCTGACCTCTCTTGTGTCACAGGGAGAGGGAAGGTGCAGGGATTGGCCAAAATTGAAGTGAAATCCCTGGAAAGGTCACTGTCACGGGGTCAGCAGCCTCTTCTGTTTTGCAGACAGTGCTGGGGCTTTTTAGCAGCAGAAGAACCATCCCTCTCTGCCAGCCTTGTTCCACGGACCTTCCAAAGGGCGCTCGGTCGCGTACAGTGCTGGGCTCGTTTTCTCAACACAAGAGAAAACAGTTAAACTTACTGAAAACACTTTCCTGAAGGTTTGTATCCCCTGTCCTTTCTCCCAAGACACAGCAATTGAAACATGCATTTATTCCTCACTGCTGCTGGCCACGAGGGTACAAAATACATTGGCTTCTTTATTGTCCCTCCCTGTTCTGTGCCTACAGAGAGCAGGGTTTAAGTCTTCCTTTTAGGGTTTCTTCACACCAAGAAAGCATTCCATACCTTACAAACACTGAACCAAGCATCATGTGTATTAAAAAAGAGATCAGATACTTCAAATTAATCTTATGCTGTAGGGTTTTATTTTTAGAATCTGTGAACATTTAGAGTTTATGAAGAAAATTAGAAATGTGTTTCTATTTTTCAAATATTTTTTATATTTATGAGTATTTTAAGTTTTAAGATATTTTTGCTAAAGGTAGACTTAGTAACATTCCAGATAAAAGAATAAAAATACAGTGTAAATGAATAATTTCTTTTCATTTATGAAGTAGCATAAATAATATGTCTAAGCACAATATTCTTTTATTGAAAGCTTTTTGCAGATGTGAAATTGTTTCTTCTCAAGGACTGCACACTTAATTCAGGTATTCTGTGCATCAGGAGTGTTAAAGTAATACTGCTGGTAGAGTTGGGCATGTTGATCATACACAACAATTTGAGATATTTTAATTCTGAATTATCCACCAGCTCTACATGTTGTGAGGTAACACCAGATGTAAAAGGAACAAATCCTGATGCATTTTTAATATTTTAAAATTAAGTTCATGGTAATTTGCATTTAGTATTTTGTTCACCATGCTGAGTAATTTGAGATGGCACTTTTTTCTTCCCCTCGTCACATTGTTGATCAAAATAATCTTTTAACAAGAGAACCAAACCTGTTTTGAAAATACAGAGAGTCAAAGCAAGGCCCAGGAGCCATTTGGGGGCTGGAGTTTCATTGCTGTGTTGGCACCTTGGATTGGTCTCTCTCATGGATGTTTCCTTGGGAGGTGCAGTGACAACGCTGGCAGAAATGGTGGGGCAAGAAAGGGTGAATCACAAAGGACCATTGCTCCAACACTAACTCATTTAGGGATGGGTTGATAATGCCACATTTCACTTGTGTAGGAGTTAGGGTTGGGAGGGGAGATGAAGGAAATGATGCATTGAAAGCACCACAAAGTCAAGTTTCGGTAGGGATGGGTGTTGTAGGCAGCAGGAGCAGTCTCTGCTTGTCTCCCTCATGGGGTGGGGATGATGGGGCGAGGGACTTGGCTTGGCCCTGTGGATAGGAATGGAGGGGCTGTCAGGAGAAGCACTCTAGTGTTGCTCTCCCATGCCTGCTGGGAGGTGAGGACGTGGCAGTGGAGTTGGCAAAGTTGTTTTTTCCTTGGTGAAATCTCTTTTGCCATTCTTAGTCACTTGGGCTGAGCACTGGGGAGAAGTTTCGACCTTCAGGGGCTGCTACAGGCCCGAAGCAAGGGTCTTGCCTTAGGCCATGCAGTCCCACAGGCATTCAGTGGGCAAGGGAAAGACAGACCCTGTACTTCTCCACTTCTTACCCAGCTTTCTACTTCTTGGTGATGCTCTTCTAACATGGTCATTTTGAAATTTAACTTGCACTGTTGGCTTTGTTGGCTGAACATCACTACTGCAGAAGAGGCAGAATCTTTACAGCAGAGAATGATCTGGGGGTAGAAATCAAGGCAGAAGAGATGGTTCTGCAAAGCACTTTAAAGAGTAAGATATCTGTGCACTTTTTTCTGAGAGAATCAAGCTAACCAAACCCATTCCTCTGCATTGGGAAGAGAATCAAGCTTTGTGTACCAGGCCAGAAGCAGATAATGCCACAATATGTGCTTTATGGCAAAATGTGTTTTTATTGCGGGTAACATTTACAGCTTACATGTAGCTGCTGCCTATAAAGTGACTCAATTGTTCTCTGGATTTTAACAAGTCATACTTTTGTGCAAAAATCTTAGTGGTTTTCTATCAATCTTCATCACCTTGTGTACAGTACAGTTAAGCATAATCCACAGTGGTCTAGATTGTGGCAGTGTTTCAAATGTCAGCACAGTAAAATTCTAGGTGAACATTGTTAAAGAAATATTGTTGTTTGTGATACTGGGGGTTAAAATTCCTCAAAGGCAACTATATATAGATTTTAAAAGTCTGGAAAAAAAGGCAGTTCTTATCTATTTTGTGTATGTTTTCATATAGAGAAGGAGTTTTTTATGTGCCAATAACCATCACTGTAGTGTTTTGTAAATGGGTGTTAATAGTGTTGCAGAGTTCTGTATATGAGAATATACTTTAGCCACAATGACCTGTTAGTGTGAACCGTGGCATGTTTTTAATCTTACACCTCTCATCAGAGGTGCTCACTCGTTGGCTTCAGTAGAGTCACTCATGCCAGGGGAAGTTTGACAAGAGTCAGGCCTCAACAATACAGACTTCATCTAAATCCCTGCTTTTTCACATTGTCCCCAGACAGTATGTTACATGTGAATGATCTGGCACATGTAATTTTAAAGCTTCAACTCCAGTTCAGTTAATCTCCTTGATTTTGTTGAGAAAAATGTTGTCAGTATTTGCTTTGGCCTTTCATGACATTTATATAAATAAGGAGCATACTGATGAATTATGAATATTGTCCACCTATTTCTAAAGCAACCATCTGTTTCTGAAGTGTTAAAATAAAGGCAAATTTCTCTTGCTGCCTTAAACATTACACAGACTTTGGAGAGGACTGAATGTATGACCATCATTGACTTCTGCAGGAGAAACTTCACGGATGCTCAGCAGGTGTGAAACGAGGTGGTCTCATGGTGCTGGGTTACACTGCAGGCCCTGCCTAGAGCACGCCTGCCATCTGTTTGATTTCCAGTGTTCCAGCAGTCCCTGGGAAACTGATGGGATTATCCATGTGCTTGATATTCTCCATGTGCTCAGTGTCCTGCTGGTCCGGGACGTCCCTGGGAAGTGACACGAGTCATGTCTCTGCTTTCCATTGTGAATCTCACTCCTCTGCAAAATGGTTCACTGGATCTGGGTGGGACAAATGCCATCTAGAATATCTGAGACATTATTGGGGACCAAGCTGATGGTAATAATTCCATGCTGAATAATGTGCACATGGTGCCATCAGGCACACTGTAATCCCTGGGCACGGGTTATGGTGTTCAGTACAAAACAGGTTTTGGCAAAACAGTTTGCTGGGTTGTCCAAGTCATTTCTTAACCATGTTGAAAATGTGCCATTTCCATTTCCAACCGGTCAAGCCTATAATGTATGAAAGTGTTGTACATTTTCTGAAACTTAAGTGATGTAAAATTATTTAATTGACTTATGATTGCTTTAATGAAGTTTGGTCTTTACATAAAAATAAATATCTTCAAAGAATTGTCAGTGCCAGAAGTGTAAATGAACAAAATAAAAGGTGAGATACTTAATTACAGAATTTTTGTCAAGGTTTCATTTGTTTGAGTATTCGGGTCACCTTTTAGAGTGGCAGCTTCACATTGCTCAGCAAAATGAGCTCAGATGGGCCATGGGTTTGCCTGAAATAAGGGAAGGGTAAGATTAGCTTTGGATATGATCTTAATATGATGCTATTCAAATCAGAGAATAGTTCTATAACACCAGGTAAGTGTCCCTTCCTTTCTGGAGGATTTGTGTGAAGGGCTGAATGCAGCTATGCAGAGCTGCCAACTGTCCCAATGTCCCACCATGGGTTTGCAATGTCCTCTGCCCAAGCAGACTGGTTTCCTTACAGCAATTTACACTGTCAGACTTGGTTATGGACTGGAAAAAGAGCAGGGGTTACTGTTTTCTAATGAGGAACTGTCCTAATTCTGTGTGTTTTATTAAGAAAATTGCTGGAATCAGTTTGATGGCTAAAATAAAGCAGCATGACCGTGACTGTGCTGTGCTGGGGCTGCCCTGGCTGCACTCCCCAGTGTGACAGAAGAATCACACCCACAAGAACAAATGGAAGATGGTTCTGGTACATCCACCCAGCACAGGTACCACAGCTGAATCCTGGTGAGATCCAGAGCTGGCTCTGACAGAGCTGCAGCCTTTTGGTCCAGGATGCAGAGAGATCACAGCCGGTGGGAGAAGCTGGCAGTGGGAGCCTGCCTGGCAATCCTGTATCTGTGGCAGTGCAGATCTCCAAGAGGGGAGCAGGGCAGCTCAGCACTGTGCACTGACACCTTCTGTTTCTGGGTTTCTGGCTGATAGTGCTTATAAAGGTGATGAGTGACTACAGTTCATATTACTTGTCACCAAAACTACATGGCAGCTTTGTGAGATAATGAAAATCTGGTGGCTCTGCTGTTAAACACTCAATTTTTTTGCCTTCTACCATTTGTCTATGCTCCAGCTACTATTACAAAACAACTACTGATGGATTGATTTTTGCCAAATGCATTCTCCCTTGTGTAGAACTGAACTGCAGGCAGTTACAGTAGTTGCTCCAAACCTTTGTGAGCATTTTCAGGATCAGGACTGGGTGATGCTCCATCTGAACTGAAGTCACCCACAGAGTGCTGTGTGGCCTCTGCTTTGTGCAAGGCACTAACTGCTTCTTTCAAGGCTCCTACAGTTTGTGGGAGGTAAGTGGGGAACTTAAAGGTAAGCTTAAAACAAGAAGTCCCTTTTTCTCTGATCTCAGTGGTCACCTGGGCTGGTTGAAGGGACCTGCTGCCCGTTGTCCCCTGAGCTGGTGTCCCACCAGTTCACCCCTCACCCCCACAGAGCTCCCTGCACAAACATACTTGGGTGCTTCAGCTGCTGCAGTTTCACTTCCACTGGACCCAAAATGAATGGCATCTCAGCTCTTCTGATGGACAGTCTAACACATTCAGCCCATCAAGCAACCAGCTGAGCTCTGTGGGCACCAGTCACACACACTGGCATCAGCAGTTCCACAGTCTCAGCCTGGGGCTGTTTGTTAGCTGGTCTCCAGGGCAGGTTCTCACTCCCTTGTTAATCATGTGTTACCTCCCCATACCCTGCATGTGTGTGTGTGTGATTGGGAAGGTCTGCATAGTCCTGAAGTTTAGAAAGCTTCTACCTTTTGAGAGTTAACTCTAGAACTACCAGGAATATTTTCTGCATGTTGATTTTGACAGAAAAATCTGGAGGGCTGTGTGAGTTTAATTTGGTTGGATACTTTTATAGGACATATTGGGATCTGGGTTTCAAGAGGATACAGGGATCCATCTGTTTTTCTGATGTGTGAAACCTTTGCCTTAGCTAGCACACTCTGATTTTGGGGGCTGTGATATCCCATAAAAGTTCAGATAGAATCCTTAATGCCAAACAGAAAAGCAGGGGGTCATACACAGAGCAGTGAGATGTATTGTGTGAAGGAAGAAAGAGAAGCACACATCCAAAATGACCTGCCCACAGTCTTGTAACACATTAACACCAGCACCACTCAGGGGGGACTTAGGTGCCTTCTATTGCAGGTGGAAAATGGCA